CATTTCCTACATTGTTCTTAACCTCTCCCTGTCTATTTTGTTCATACCAATTATGCTTCTGATTGGTTGTTTTTTGCTTCCTAATGTTCCAAATCATTGATTTGATTCTCGGACTCATCCACTCTTCCGTTGTTTCCCTGTAAATTGTTCTTTATTTCAATTAGCGTATCCTTTGTTTCTGACTGGGTCTTTTTTATGCTGTTGAGGTCCTCACTAAGTTTCTTGAGCATCCGTATAACCAGTGTTTTGAACTTTGCATCTGAATATATTGTTTGTCTCTATTTTATTTAGCTCTTTTTGTGGAGTTTGTTCTGTTCTTTCATTTGGGCCATGTTTCTTTGTCTCCTCATTTTGGCAGCCTCCCTGAGTTGGTTTCCATGTATTAAGCAGAGCTGCTATGACTCCCTGTCTTGGTAGGATGGCCTAATGTAGCAGATGTCCTGTAGGGTCCAGTGGCACAGCCTCCCCGATCACCCAAGCTGGGTACCCAAGATGCGCCCTTCATGTGGGCTGAGTACACCCTCCTCTTGTAGTTGAGACTTGTTGCTGTTGGCAGGTCAATGGGAGGGATTTACCCAGGCCAGTCAGATGCAAGGACTGGCTGTGACCATTGACCAACGACCTCTACCCTTTGCAGAGGACCAGCTGTGCAGGGGCAGGGTGGTGGTGCTCTGACGAGGTCTGTAGCTGCCCCCTGGGTGCGCTGGCCCTGGGGTTTCGCAAGTGGTGCAGGCCAAGGTCAGCCCTCATTTGTGTTCTTCCTGAGCCCCCCTCCCTGAGCACTAAAGCAGTCTGAGATGGCTGCTGCTTGTGCTGGGCTTGGAGATTCCCCAGTGAAGCCTCGTTGTGAGTCTAGGCTGGCTGCTGCTAGTGCCAGACCCAGGGCCCCTTAGCAAGAGGGGCAGGGGACTGGAAGCTCACTGAGGCCAGCTGTTGCTTGTTCGATAGGATTTAAGAAGTTGTGCGGCATGAGCCAGACCAGTCATTCATATGGAAAAGTCATGGTTTAGCGTTTGGGTGGCTCTCTAAGTAGGGTGGGAAGGAGCCGCAGGGGATCTCCAGGGCAGGGAAAGCTGTGCTGCAGGTTGATAGAGTCTCAGACATGGCACCAGCCTGTGACTCTGTGGCTCTATGGGGGGTAGGGCTCAGCAAAGGGACTATGGCCTCTGCCCATTTTCCTGTCTGGGAGAAAGCTGCCCCCCAGCCCTCACCTTGATGCCAGACACTTCAGTTTCTCCCAGTATGTCACTGGTGCATTTCAAGCTACTCCCCTGGTGATGCAGCCCAGAGGGAGTGACTCTGAGTAGGTGAGTCCATATGTGGGTCCTTTAAGAGGAACTGCCTGGGACTCCAGGAGTTTCTTCTGCCAACTCAATCCCTGCTGATTTTTGCAGCCAGAAGTTATGGGGGCTTATCTTCCTGGCCCTGGAACCCTGGGCTGGGGGGCCTGGTGTGGGTCTGGGACTTCTTGCTCCTGAGACATCCTTTCTGAATTTTTATCCACCACACGTGGTTGTGGGATCAGCCCCTTCTGCGTCTCCGCTGCTCCTGCCAGTTGGTGTGGTTTCTTCTTTAATTCCGTGGTTGTCAGACTTCCATTCCTCTTGATTTCAAACAGTTCCTATATTATAGTTGTCATTTTGATGTGGTTGTGGGAGAAAGCAAGCTGTGTTTACCTGTGCCACTCTCTTGACCAGAAGTTCCCTAAAAATTCTTTATTTATTTTAGTAAGAGGGGAAGGGAGAGAGAATGAGAGAGAGAGAAACATCAGTGTGTGAGAGACTCATTGATCTGAGCCGGGCCAGAGCTAAATTTTTATTTATTGATTTGAGAGAGAGAGAGGACAGTTGTTCCAGTTGCTAATGCTCTCATTGGTTGCTTCCTGTGTGTTCCGTGACTGGGGAGTGAACCCACAGCCCTGGCCCGTCTGGGTGATGCTTTAACCAAGTGAACCAGGGCCAATTCAATTAATTTTTAAATGGATGTGTAGCACTCACTGCCCAGTGATACAATTATTCATTTTAATGTTGATGGGCATTTGGGTTTTTTCCAAAGTTTTTCTGTCAAAAACAACAGTGTGATTAAAAACTCTTCTGTCACCTACAAGCTGGATGCTCATTGGGTTGCTGACTTCAAACTATTTGTCTTTGTGTCTCCCTAGAATTTCTAACCCCTTACATGCTGTTTTCAAAACTAAGCTCTGGACTTTATTTGGATTTTGCCTCTTCGCACACTAACGTCCCACTGTGCCCCAGGACGCCATGTGGACTGTGTGGGTGCTGCCCCATCCCACCGCCCCGGCCTGGTCTGTTGTCATCTCTACTCAGGAGAAACCCGGTGAAGTCCTGTCAGTGTGGAAACTTGACCACATCGCAGCGGCTGCCCTGCGCCTCACGTTGTGCTGCTGTGGAAGGAGTCGTCCCTGGTTGAGGACCTAGCGAGACCATCGTGTGAGGCCCTGGGAAGCTTCCCATATGGGACATGCACTGGCTTCACGAGTGAGTCACACACCCTAACTGTCTTCCCTTTGACACATCACAAGGGAATTAAATGTTCTTCCCCCAGAATATCCAACTGTGTCTTCCTGAGAATTCATGTATAATGACATGAGGGACACCCTGGGGTCCACTCGGTTTTGCATCTACTTCCCTGATGATGGGAATGTTGGTCTGAGGGCCATGGTGGGTAGAGAAGGTAGTCGGGGCCCATGGACCCTCATGCAGGGATTTCCCCAGACAGACAGACCTCTTAAGCCTCAGAGGACACAGTGGGTGATGGGAGTCCATTCTCACTGCCAAGACCCATGAGGTAAACGTCATAGTTTCCGTGGCTGCAACGGCTCACACATCGTTGATGACATCACGTTGGCCAAAGGCGCAGGACGCCCTGCAGGAATAGGAAAAGAAGAGTGTGGGTGTCCTGTGAATGCCCAGGGACGCACGGGGCCGTGGGTTGTAGCTGGTGACGGATTCGTCCACAAGCAAGAGTTGGGCAGGGCTTCAGGGCACAGGGGTTGGGGGAACCTTAGGCTCCCATCTCCTGGGACTGAAGACAGAGGCCTATCCTGTGACCTCGCTGGGATAAGTAGCCCGGAGATAGCACAGGAAAGGAAGGTGAGCTATAGGGGACACAGGGCAGGGAGGGCGAGGGAGGAGGGGGGTGTGGGACCAGGACCTCCTTGTGACAACGATATCTATACTGCCGATTACCTGAGCTTTCCCAAATCACCTGGCCTCTGGGCGAGTAGACACCTGGTAGGTGGCATCCTTTGTTCTGCGACCCAGTGAGGGCGGAGAAATGAGGGCCTGCGCCCAAGTCGGTCCTGGTAGCGCCCCCCACAGGAAGCCCACCGCGCTGCCGTGGGCAGAGCCGCCTCGGGAGCCTGCGGGACTGCCCCCTGCTCTGCGCCGCAGGCCTGCTTCGAGGAGACACACTCAGAGCCCACTGGACGCAGCCGGTGGGGTGGGGGGACCCGTGAGCTTTCGACGAAGCAGGGCCAGCCTCCTAAAGCTGCTCTGGGTTTCCTCTCGCTGCTCTCAGCTCTCAGTTCTATGTCAAAAGGGTAGGAAGTGGGCCTTGTGCCTCCTCTGGGCCTCACCATTTCCAGGCCAGCGTGGACGGGCCCCTGGGCCCCCATGGCCGTGTCCCCAGCGGTGTGAGTGCGAGCATGCACAGGCACGTGCGCCAGCTGGGGGTCCCCAGGGCCATGCTGTGGTGGCGAGTCCTCCCATGGGGTTTCCCTTTCTTCCTGGAGGCTATGGACCAAATGTGTCCCCTCAAATGTACATGCTGAAGCTCTGCCCTTTACCGTGACGTTAGGAGGTGAGTAGGGTTGGACGAGGTTCTGAGCTGGGCCTGCACGGCGGGATCATGTCCTCACAAGAAGAAGAGTGATCAGAGATCTCTCTCCGCTACCCTAGGACACACAGCAAGGTGCCATCTATGAGCCGGGAAGGGGCCCTCAGCAGACTCTGATCTGCCAGCGCCTTCATTTGGATGGACTTTCAGCCTCTGGAACTGTGAGCCATGGATGGTGTTTAAGCCCCAGTCCGTGCTGTTTGCTATGGCGACTCAAGATGACCAAGCCCTTGGGACCGTCCCCCAAGGGACCAAGGAGAGGCCCTGGGTGAGGTGGGGTGCAGGGGGCCTAGCAGGTGATGTGGGCGGTCTTAGGAAGGCTGCCTTCTCCCTGTCTCCATGGCCCTGACCCAGGGACAAGTGTGGTCAGGGTGCCAGGCTGCCTGGGGAGGCAGGTGGGCTCGGCCTAGAGTCGGGGGGGCCACCGGTGGGAGTCCTGGGCCTCTCCTGGGAAGAGGCCAACCGCTGCCCTGAGGGGCCCATGTCTGAAAGAAGAGGCCCTCCCTGCAAGGAGCCTCCTCTAGGGCAGAGCCAAGGCAGGGCCCTGAGGCAGCCCCTGCACCCTGCCCGGGCCCAGGGCCTTCCCTGCAAGGGCGACCATGGGTTAGGCCCCACCACGGGTGCTGATCTGTTCCCTACCTGCGCCCCGCCCCCACCCCTGCCCGGGCGTGTGTCCCAGCCCGCACGCAGCCCGGGGCCGCCACCCCTGCGGTCCCTCCGCACAGGGTGGGTGGGGAGGGTAACCGCGGTCTGAGCGCACAGGAGTCATCCAGGTGCCTGGTGTCTCAGCTCAGCCAGCGGTTTGCCCCTGGATGGTCCCTGATCCCCTGGGCGTGACCCTGGGTTCCCCCCGGGGACGGTCCTTGCTCTCCTGGGTGCCTTCCCAGTCTTCACTCCAAGATGCTGGTCTGAGGAGGGGTCTCGACCAGTGGCGGCCCCCGCCCTACCCGCACCAGCGCTCCCCCTTCCCCCAGCCACCCCGAGCCTCTGCCCTTTGCCTACCTAGGGCCCGGGGTGAAACCCAATCAGGGCAGTGACAGCCAGGCTATTTTGAAGCTGGGCTGGGCTGCCTGGCCACTGGTGGGGGCAGGGTAGGGGCGGGCCCAGCCTTCTCCAGCTGACAGCGTCCGCCTGTCCTCTGTCCCTGTCCAGTCTGAGGACCGGCCAGAGTGCAGGTTGCTGGGCAGGAGCCGTGCCGGTCCTGGGCCCTGAGAGGGAGGGAGACCCGGTGGCCGCTGCCCCACCGTCTGAGCCCTTGGCCTGGGCGCCACTCCGAGTCCGCGGTTGAGACCGGTGAGAAGGCAGAGCGGGCAGGGGCACGGGCCATCCCGTGCGCCCTCCCAGCAGGGTAGCTTGGTTGAAGGTCACAGCTCTGGGGACAGAGGGGCCTGGGGCAGGGTCTTGCTGCTTGGTGCTGCTCTCGGTCGGGGGCCTGGGTCCCAGCCCAGGCCCCATCAGCGACCTGAGCTGGGCCCTCACTGCACGGAGGAGCGGCCAGGCCGGGAGGTTGCGGCTCTGCACCCCATCTCGATCCAGGGTGGCCTGGGGGGTCTACCTAGCCCTGCCCCCAGCTTGGCTGAGATGGATGCCCGCTGACAGCTGGGGCTATTTTGGGCCTGTTGGCTCAGTAGTGGGGACAGCCAGAGGGGCAGTGACACCTGACTCCAGGAAAGAATTTCCCCGTGGTGAGCAGGAAGCCCGGCTCAGGGGTCTGGGGGCGCAGATCCAGGAACTGCCCTTGAAGCCTTTTCTGGAAGGGCATGGGGGCGGCAGGGAGGCGAGAGCCGGGAGGGCTCCGCTGTCAGGCCGGCGCGGCGGGAGGTCCTGGGCGTCCAGGCCCCGCGAGGCGTGAGGGATGGCGCCCGGGGGGCTCCGCTCTGGGGCGGGCTGTCACCACTGTCTGCTGGGGCCTCTGGGATCCACGGGAAACCCCCTTTCCAGGCAGGTGACGGAGGGAGGAGGGGCATCCTGGGAGGCTGGGGCTGAGGCCCTGCAGGGCCCCTCCTGAGGCCTGTGTCTGCCCGCGTGGCAAGGGAAGGAGGAGGCCTCTGCATGCGTCCCTGTGCCCGGGGGCTGCCTCATGTGGTCCCTCCCCTAGTGGACCTGAGCGCGGGCTGCGGAGCCCTTGGGTACGCGCTCGGGGCCCTTGGCCCCGCTTGCTGGTGGGGTCGCCTGCCCTGCAGGGTTGCCGTGGGGCTCTGAGGTGGTCGTGCCTTCGTGTGCTCCTCAGACCCTGCAGGGCCTGCCGCTTCGCGTCGTGGGTAGGGAACGCAGGTCCTGGGTGGGGAGCGGGGCATCGGCATCGTCCCCAGCGGCCTGAGAGAACCTCAGGGTCTCTGCCCACCCTTGTCTGGCCAGGGTAGCTTGCACATCTGCCGAGGCTGGGGCGGGCTCCCACTAAACACGTGAGAGATGGGTGCGTTCTCCCTGACCTTCTGGCCCCAGAGGCCCGGGGGGGGGGTGGCTCCCTGTCCCCCACCCCCGCATGCTCTCTCAGGAGCCGGGAGCAGCTTCTCTGGCACCTGCCCCGGGTGTGTGGGGTGGGGGAGGTGCCGCGTCCTGCCTTGGGGAACCCACACACTGACTGTGTGATTTGGGGTCGCCACTTGGAATAGCTCAGGGTTCCAGGAGACCTGGTATCAAAGTGACCCTTCCCCAGAGGAGTGCTGAGGCCGGGGCGTCCATGGGGGCGGGGTTTCAGCGGCGCCGGCCCAGGTCCTCCCAGGCCCTCAAGGCCAGGCGTGCGGGGGGTGGCTGGAGGGGTGGGGGACGGCCGTGCTGACTGCACAGTGAGTCAGCAGGCCGGTCTGGGCTCAGCCACCTCGAGGGGGATTAGGGGATTAGGTCCCGAATCACAGGGCCAGGGGCAGAGGGCCCGCAGACACCCCCTCTCCTCCAGGGTGAGCGGCCCACGCCCGGAGGCTGGGAGGCTCAGCTCCCGGGATGGAGGGGGTCAGAGTGCTTGGGGCCGGCTGGGGCCTGCCGAGGCCCACTGTGCTGGCTGTTCTTACAGAAGCCCCTGCAGGAAGGGCCCTGTCTCACCTCACTGCCGTGCTGGGAGGAGGGGGCGACCCCGGGTAGGTGGATGCCAGCATCACCCGGGGCCTTCCACACTGATGGTGCCAGCCCTGCCCACGTAGGGTACCCGGGAGGTGAAGCCAGAGTCAAGGGTCGCCTGCCGTCGCGGTCACCGGGCTCGCTGACTCCAGGTTGCGTCCGGCTAGCCAGCCTGGCTGTCTCAGCCTGGAGCTCCCTGGCTCTTCCTGGGGGCGCCTCCACTGTCCGCTGCAGGCGGACTCCGACTGCGCTGCCCGACAGTCCCGCTGCGAGCTCCAAAGGGAGGAGAAAGGGGCTCACAGCGAGGGGCCCGGCAGCCGGCCCGCTGGGGGCGCTGTCTTGTTAGGAGGAGCTCGCCTGGCTGCAGTGTTTCCATTTCTTCCCTGCTCACGAATGGGCACAATCCCCCTGGGGTTGAGGGGGTGGGGGACCCCAGAAGAGGTGAGGTGCCCCCTGGCCCAGGGTGGCTGCAGGTGGGGCAGACCTGTGTATAAGGCTCCCTGTTGTGGGCACCACTGGGCAAGGGGGCCGGAGTGGCCCATAGCCCCATGTGGGGCCCAAGGTCTCGGGGGGATGGAGGACAGGGGCAAGAGCAGGTGAAGGTGGCATGCTGGGCCCAGGGCTTGAGGAAAGCCCGTGACCTCTGGTGGGCCACAGCCGGGGAGCGGGGACGGGCCAGCGGTGGGCGCCCGCGGCGGGCCTCCCGCAGTCGCGCCCACAGGCGCGTTGCAGTTTCTGGCCCCAGGAGGCAGCAGTGTGTGTAGGGGGAGGAGACAGGACAGTTGGAATGGCTGGAGGGGACGCAGCAGGTCTGCGTGGCAGGTGCAGGAGGAGGCTGGTGCCACAGCAAGATGCCGCGCGGGGAGCGGGCAGCCTGGATGTTGGTGTGGTGTCCTGGGACAGGTGCTCAGCCAGACCTGGGGGCGGGGCAGAGAGACTGAAGGGGGGAGAGGCTGGAGATGCTCACCTATTAGGAGAACCCATTTGGGGTGCAGCTAGACCCCAAGGGCTCAGAAAGAGGTAAACCTGCACTTCTGAACCGTGGTGCCTTCTGATGATGCCGCCTGTGCTGCGGGGAGGGGTGTGTGCAGGCGCCTGCTTGGGCTAAACTGGGTTCTCCAAGCGGCGCTGGGTGGGTGAAGTAGGCGGGTAGAACAAAGGTGATGGGTTGAGAGCGCGCCAGGGGCTCATCTCACCGTGACCTTTCGCACCCATCTCTGTAGGTCACCGCCCTCCCCCGCCCCTTCCACCATGGATCACTCCTCATTCAGCGGCGCACCCCGATTCCTGACCAGGCCTAAGGCCTTTGTGGTGTCTGTGGGCAAGGACGCCACGCTGAGCTGCCAGATCGTGGGCAACCCCACGCCACAGGTGAGCTGGGAAAAGGACCAGCAGCTGGTGGAGGCGGGCTCTCGCTTCCGCCTGGCCCAGGACGGCGACCAGTACCGCCTCACTATCCTGGACCTGGCCCTCGGCGACAGCGGACAGTACGTGTGCCGCGCGCGCAACGCCATCGGCGAGGCCTTCGCAGCCGTGGGCCTTCAGGTGAATGCAGAGGCTGCGTGCGCGGAGCAGGCGCCCCACTTCTTGCTGCGGCCCACGTCCATCCGCGTGCGCGAGGGGGCAGAGGCCACCTTCCGCTGCCGCGTGCGGGGCTCACCTCCTATGGCAGTGAGCTGGGCCAAGGACGGGAGGCGCCTGGGAACGCCTGACGCCCCACGAATGACTGTGGAGGCCAGTGGCGAGGCGAGCGCGCTGCGCATCCAGGATGCGCGGCCGCGCGACGGCGGCACCTATACAGTGCGCGCCGAGAACCCACTGGGCACCGCCAGCGCTGACGCCGCGCTTACGGTGGATGCGGACGCTGACTCGGCAGGCCCACCCGGAGCCTCTACAGCCGCGCTCTTGGCGCACCTGCAGCGGCGGCGCGAAGCCATGCGGGCTGAGGGAGCGCCAGCCTCGCCACCAAGCTCTGGCATGCGCACCTGCACCGTGACTGAGGGCAAGCACGCGCGCCTCAGCTGCTATGTGACGGGTGAGCCCAAGCCCGAGACGGTGTGGAAGAAGGATGGGCAGCTGATAGTCGAGGGCCGGCGACACGTGGTGTACGAGGATGCGCAGGAAAACTTTGTGCTCAAGATTCTCTTCTGCAAGCAGTCAGACCGTGGCCTCTACACCTGCACAGCATCCAACCTCGTGGGCCAAACCTACAGCTCTGTGCTGGTCGTTGTTCGAGGTGAGCTGGGGCACCGTGCACCTCTGCCGTAGCAGGGAGTGGATGCGGAGCTGGAAGCCCTGGCGGCTCTCCCTTTAACCAGCCCATGAAATGCGGGTTGCTGGGGTTGACCCTCATCCCATCCCCCTGTCTTTGTGAGTAAAAAGAGTGGAGGAGAAGAGGAGAATGAGCTTTGTCACCAGCACTCCCTCCCGGGGAGACAGTCAGGATGCCCGGGAGCTGAGCCTGCCCTGGATGCTAACGGGATCTCCCTGTAGAAGCGTGAAGGAGAGCGGAGTTCGCGCGGCGGGGGCCGCCGGGCAGCGGGAGGCGGCTCTGGTCGATTTGCAGGCTCTCGTCCAGCCCGGCAGGCGTGGGCAGCAGGGCCCGGTTTTGTCGGGAGGCCAGTTTATTCTTTGCTCTTAAAACACACCGGCCTCTCTCGGGGTGGAAGTCCTGCCTCCACCTAACAGGCAGCACCACTGCAGGATCTCTAGCGCGGAGGAGGGTGCATTGATCTTGCCTGAGTTTCCTCATTCTTGAGGGGTAAATGCCCCCCCAAGGGTCTCTGGGAAGCTGCACCGGGAGCAGGCATGTGGTGGCAGGGCCTCGGCCTGAAGCCGGTGGCCGGAGAAGGAGCGATTTCGCGGAGGGTCTTGGCCCTGCTGTGCGGCTCCTGGGCTGGAGGCCGGTCTGCCCCAGGGGCTGCAGGCCTCACCGCTTCTTTTCTCTTCGATTTCATATGTTTTAGGGGGAAGGGCTCTTTCCTTTAATTTCTGACCCCTCTCCCTGTCCTCCTCAGCTCTCCCACTCACTCCCTGCCCTGCAGCCCCTCCAACACCTGCCTCCGGCCCCCACCGCAGCCCCTGCTTGCCCTCAGCCTGCCCGCCCCTTTCCCTCTCCCAGCCCCACCCACCACACTCCAGGCACCCCCTTCCCTGCCCAGCCCACCCGCCGGCCCTGTCCATCCTCTCCCCACAGAACCCGTGGTGCCCTTTAAGACCCGGCTGCAGGACCTGGAGGTGCCGGAGAAGGGGTCGGCCACGTTCCGCTGCGAGGTGCCGCAGCTGGCCACGCAGGCCCTGTGGTACAAGGAGGATGTGAGGCTGTGGGCCAGCGCCAAGTACGCCATTGAGGAGGAGGGCACAGAGCGCCGGCTGACTGTGCACAGCGTCTCTGCCGACGACGACGCCGTGTACATCTGCGAGACGGCCGAGGGCAGCCGCACGGTGGCGGAGCTCGCGGTGCGAGGTGGGCGGGCAGGCCGCCTGGGAGGGGTGTGGGCTGCGGGCAGGGCCCACGCGTTTGCAGGGGGTGGGCAGGCACAGTCGGCTCTGACCAGCCCCTGGCTCTGCCCCGCCCTAGGCAACCTCACCCGAAAGCTCCCGAGAAAGACAGTGGTGCGAGTAGGGGACACGGCCCTGTTCTGTGTGGAGCTGGCCAAGCCAGAGGGCCCTGTGCACTGGCTCCGGAACCAGGAAGAGGTGGTGGCCGGGGGCCGCGTGGCTATCACCACCGAAGGCACGCGCCACACGCTGACCATCGCCCAGTGCAGCCCGGAAGACGTGGGTGAGGTGGCCTTTGTGGCTGGGGACTGCCGGACGTCCACACAGTTCTCCGTGTCGGGTAAGGGCCTGGGCAGCACCGCGCTGAGGAAGGGCCCGGGGCACGCTGAGTCAGGCTGTGGCCCTCGGTCCGCAGACCCTGAGCTGTTTGCAGCCTCCCTTTGCTGTGGCCTCCCCAGATGCCGGCGAAGTGGGTGTCTTGGTAGCCCCTCATTCCACCAACCGCATTAGAAGGTGCAGATTGTTCTAGAAGCACAGTGTATGTGTGTGTGGCAGGAGGCTGTCCTGTGTGAGCATGTTTTCCTTCTGTGGCCTCGGTGTCTTCATTGTGGACTGGGTGGCAGCTCCCTGCTCTGCCGGTCCCGCAGGGTCAGTACTTGGCAGGGGCAGAGTGTGCCCCGCCCCCCACGGCCTCAGCACCCTGCCTCAGTCACTGTCCAGCCAGGACCCCAGTGAACTCTTGGGGTCAAGGCTGTGCACTGGAAGGTGTCTGTCCCCAGGCCACCCGGGCAGCTCATGCTGGCCATGGGCCAAACGTGGCTGCTGGAGCCAGGGTGCCCCTTCTGCTTCAAGTTCAGGAGAAAGGGCCACAGGGTGGGGCCGAGCGTCACGGGCCCCCAGCGTCCGCTCAGGCCAGCCTTCTACCTCAAGCCATCGGAGCAGTGCTCCCTAGTGGGATTGGGGGTTCTTTCACTCCTCCCTCCTCCGAAATGATCGCGGCCCTCGGGCTGGGGGAGGGCTCCGGCCGGTGATGTGGGCCTGCATGCTGCTCAGTCCCCAGGAAGCCGCCACTGCACCCCCCGGAGGCCCCTGTGGTGAAGGCCAAGACAGAGAGTTCCGTGACCCTCAGCTGGTCCCCGCCCCCCCTCGGGGACCGCCCCGTCACCATTGATGGCTACCTGGTGGAGAAGAAGCGACTGGGCACCTACACCTGGAGCCGGTGCCACGAGGCTGAGTGGGTGGCCACCCCTGAGGTGACCGTGGCCGGCATGACCGAGGAGGGCGACTTCCAGTTCCGGGTGTCGGCTGTGAACAGCTTCGGCCAGAGCGCCCACCTTGAGTTCCCAGGGACGATCCACCTGGGTGAGTGCAGCAGGCCTGTCCCCAGGGCTGCCAGGGCCTGGCCTGCGGGCCCCGCCCCAGACGCACCCACGCCTAGAGCCCGGCCCAGCCTTGGTGAGGCCACAGTGACTCAGGGAGCCTCTTTCCCGGGGGTGGGGTGCCCGGAGTCCGGATGCTGTTGGAGCCTGTGTGGGAAGGGGCTCTGAGACAGAACTTAGGTCCCATAGGGACCTGTCTGTGTCCTCCAGCCCCAGGGGGCCAGGCTGCCCAGCTGCACCCTCCAGCCCTGGGTCTGTGAGATCCGGAGGGGATCTCGGGTGCTCTCACCTGACCCCACACAGTCCCGAGCCCTGCGATCTCTCGTGGTTGTTGTGTACCTGTCTGAGGGGCTTCCTGGAGGAGGGGGCATTTGGGCTCAGGCTCTGGGGGAGGAGGTAGGGGGGGAGGTCAGGTGCCCTGCTCCTCCCTGAAGCCCCCACCCTGCAGCTCCCCAGCTAGCCGTGAAGACACCCTTGAAGGCGGTGGAGGCAGTGGAGGGCAGTGAGGTGACCTTCTCCGTGGACCTTACTTTGGCCTCGGCGGGCGAGTGGTTCCTGGACGGGCAGGCCCTGAAGGCCGGTAGCGCGTACGTGATCCGCTGCGATGGCACCCGGCACACCCTCACCATCCGCGCGGTGCCCGCCAGCTTGCACGGTGCTGAGCTCAAGTTCGTGGCCAATGGCATTGAGAGCAGTGTCCGCATGGAGGTCCGAGGTATGGGACCGGGCCCCTGACCCTGGGGCCTCTCCAGTTCTGCTTCCCTTGGGGGTGAAGAGCGGGGCAGAACCTGGGCCCCAGGCCCCAGAGCTCCTGGAGAGCGCTGGGGGCCGCCGGGAGGCAGCCCCGCCCAGCAGGGCCGGGTGGTGGGGTGGGCGAGTGCAGCAGCACCCGGCCTGGCCGCGGTCCCCAGCCTCAGTGTGTGTGTGGATGAGGGGCCGGGGGCTGCTGAGGACACTCACCACATGTCTCCGTCTGTCTGCTCCCCTTTCCCTTCTCCCCCTGCACCCTCTGCCCATGTCCCCCTCTCCCTCTGACCACACCCCCCTCCCTCCACACCCTCCCTCTCCACCTGTGGGGCCCCCAGTGGCCCCAGGGCCGACCACCAGGTGCCCAGCAGCGGTTCGGGAGGTGCTGGCCCGGCTGCACGAGGAGGCGCAGCTCCTGGCCGAGCTGTCGGACCAGGCGGCGGCTGTGACGTGGCTCAAGGATGGCCGGGCGCTACCCCCAGGCCCCAAGTACCAGGTTCAGGCTTCGGCAGGGCAACGGGCACTGCTGGTGCGGGACGTGGCGCGGGACGACGCCGGCCTGTACGAGTGTGTCAGCCGCGGGGACCGCATCGCTTACCAACTGTCGGTGCAAGGTGCGCATGTGTGTCTGTGTGTGCCTGTGTCCTCCCGGCCGCTGCTGCAGCCACAGCCTTCTGCGCCCCAGCTCCGGGCAGGCTCTGCGGGGTCAGGGCCTCGGGAGCTGATGTGCTCTGTTGGGGGATTGGTTGCGGGTAGGCTCCGGTGCCTCTGCGGGGACAGTGGGGACGGGGTTCTGTTCGGTAGCGGGAGGTACCCTGCAGGGAAGTCCTGACAGTTTGTGGGTGGTTGGAAGCCAGCAGCTGGCCCCGTGGGAAGGGACCGCTGGTCTGGGGCGAGCCAGGGCTCCATGTGGTTCCAAAGCCCTGAGTACGCGCGTGGCGAGTTGTGGGTGTGCTGGTGGCTGAAGGCCTTCCCGCGCCTGAGCCCCGCTGCCCTCGCAGGGCTCACACCCTTTCTGCACAAGGATGCGGCTGGTGGCTGCGTGGACACGGTGGCCGGGGGCCCGGCCCGCTTCGAGTGCGAGACTGTGGAGGCCCATGTGCCTGTGCGCTGGTTCAAGGATGGCGTGGAGCTCGGCCCCTCCTGCTCGCGCTTCTCACAGGAAGATGTGGGCACGCGGCACCGGCTGGTGGCCGACTCGGTCAGCAGGCAAGATGAGGGCACCTATTCATGCCGCGTGGGCGAGCACTCCGTGGATTTCCAGCTGCGCGTCTGCGGTGAGCAGGCAGCTCCCAGGCTTGGTGGGTGGGGAGCAGGCCCAGCTGCCTCTGGCGCCTGCAGGGCGGAGCTGCCCGGCTCTTCATTGCTTGTGTGAATGCTTGGGGAGGGGCCATTGCTTCAATTTGGGAAAAGAAATGACCTGTAAAACTACCATAGATATGGACGAAAGAATTTGAGATAAAAAAGAAATGTGAAGTCCTTGTTCCCCTTTTAAAGATCAGAGGAGGCTGAGAGGAGCAAGAGGCGCTGGAAGCATCCTCAGCAGCATAGATTCGGACCTCGGTGAATCTGAGGTTCAGGCTCTTACTGAAGCCATGGGGGCCTCTTGGAGAATTCCCCGAGACCTGGCCCCCAGAAGAGTCTCTGCCATCCCCTACGCCTCCCTCTCTATCCTGAGGCACCAGTCAGGACAGCTGTTCCAGGGAGGGCTGCGCTGCAGCACCTGGCCCAGAAGTTCTAGCAGGGGCCCCATGGTCGCCCGGGGTCAGAGCCTCTGTGGCGGCTTCAGTGCTCACCTCTGCAGGGCCCTGACTGTGCGTCCCTCCCTGTCCCCAGAGCCCGCGGCGGTGTTCGCCAAGGGGCAGCCGGCACGCAGTCCCGTGCAGGCCGTGGCGGGGGCCATGGCGACGCTGAGCTGCGAGGTGGCCCAGGCCGAGACGCAGGTGACGTGGTACAAGGACGGCAAGAAGCTGAGCGGGAGCTCGAAGGTGCGCGTGGAGGCCGCGGGCTGCACCCGGCGGCTGGTGCTGCCGCAGGCGGGGAAGGCGGACGGCGGGGAGTACAGCTGCGAGGCCGGGGGCCAGAGGGTCACCTTCAGCCTGGACGTCACAGGTCAGCGGCTAAAGCAGACCACCATGGGAACAGGCCTGGAGAAGTGCTTCAGTGTGGGTGGGGGACAGCGCAGCAGCCTCATCAGGGGCCTCGTCAGCTAGCTATTTGGTGCTGAGTAACAAACATTCCCGAAACCTAGAGACCCCGAAGAACAGATGAGCACTGTCACTGTTCTGTGGGGCAGGGCTGAGTGGGGGAGGTTCACCTCTTTTCATGAGGTTGGGTGGGCCAGGTGGAGGCAGCCTGGTCTCAGTCATGCATCTGATGCCCTGATTTCGGTGGCTTCTAACGATGGGGCTAGTCGGGGTACAGGCCTCTCTGTTCCGTGATGTTGGCTAGGCTGGCTCCTCTACCCGAGACCCTGTTCTCTCTTTCTGACATTTCACCGCAGGCTGGTTCCTCCACGTGGGCAGCCTGGGCCCCCTCAGGTGCAGGAGACACTTCAGGCTCATTGGTCCCTCCCTGTGTGAGCTGTCCCAGAATGTTACCTCCTCTGGGTCCTGTTGTGCAAAGCCAAGTGCAAGACCAACCCAATTCCAAGGGGGTAGCTCATGGGGGGCCACATCCGTCTATCCCAGGGATGGCCCAGGCACTCAGGCTCTCTTTGTCTCTAACCACTGCCATCCTGAGCATGTTAACTTTTTCTTTCTAATACTTACTGTGTCGTGGTCACAAGGTGGCTTTGATAGCTCCAGCGGTCGAGGGCTGTTTTTCAACTTCTGTTTTTGTTTTTTGCTTCTGTGCAAGAAATGATCACAAACTTGGAGGCTTAAAGCAATGCCTCTTGATTGGCTCACAGTTCTGCAGGCGAGAAGTCCAGGAGCGGAGCGGCGGGGTGCTCTGCCCAGGGGCTCAAGACTGGGGGAGCGGGCCTGTGGGTGAAATGTCCCCAGGCGAGGATGGCGTCTCAGTTAGAGGAGTGAGCCCAGCCAACATCTCGGAAGAAAGAGGCCTGTCACCCGTCCCTGCCACCGGCTGAGCACTCTGGGAGTCCCCTCCCAAGCTCCTCCAAGTTGTTCTTTCCCTGTGGTTCTGGGTCTGGGGCTGTTCCCTGGCTGGCTGGGGGCCACTTTTGTTCCTTTGCCCTGTGACCCCTCACATTCAGGCCAGCTGTGGAGAATCCTCCTGTGTCTAATCGCTCTCAGGATTTTGGCTAGGAGAAGCCGTTCCTTTCAGGGTTCACCTGGTTAGGTCTGGCCCCTCCCCCAGGGTCATCTCCCTTTTGATGAACTAAGAGTCAGCTGACCTGGGACCTAAATTCCTTCAGCAGAACCCCTTCACAGCAGCAGTACACACGTGGATTAGTGTGCTTGGTGGGCCAGCTGGCAGGAGCTCTGTGCACACCCTGGGATTGGGACCTTGGGGCATGTCTATGTAGCAGAGAGCTTCACCTGCTGTATCTTCTGCTTGGGAGACAAGCGCTTTCCTCCCCGGGAGTCTGGAGCAGACTTTCCCTATGTCTCCTGCCCGGTGTGGGTCCCACAGCTGCGCCCTGCTCCCGGCAGCCAGGGAAGCGAGCTTCTGGCCTTCCTGCCCCGGCACTGGGGCGTCGAGGGTGAGGGCGGCGGGTCTACTGCAAGGGCAGTGCTGCCGGCCGGCCACCTCCGTGCCGGGGTGGCCAGGCCCTTCAAGGCTGGCTGTGGAGAGGTCAGAGTGTGGATAAGGTCAGACCTCACTCGTGCCCCTTAGTCGCTGGGCGGCCTTGTGCAAGCTGTCGGTGTCGTGTCCCCTGAAATTCACACCCATCCAGAACCTCAGAATGTGGTCTTATGAGGAAGTGGGGTCTCTGTAGATAGCATCACGGTAGGGATGGAGATGAGACAACCCTGGGTTAGGTCGGCCCTGAGCCCATGGACAGAGGTCCTTATACAGCAAGAAAGCAGAGATCTGAGACACAGGGAGAGGCCCACGTGACAATAGAGACAGAGATGGGGTGATGTGGCTGCAAGCCCGGGGGTGCCAGGGGCACCAGCCACTGGAAGGGGCCGGAAGGACCTTCTCCTGGAGCCTCCAGGCGGAGCATGGCCCTGTGGCATCTTGATCTTGGACTCCCGCCCTCCAGACCTGGAGAGAATAAACGCATGTTGCTTTGAGCCCCAGCATGTGGTCACTTGTTCTAGCCGCCCAGGGCCTCTCGCAGTCCTCTCCTGCGCCTCAGTCTTCTCATCTTGCGGGGGTAGGCGGGGAGATAAGGCTTGCAGGGCTGTCCTGGGGGACTGCCCTGCCACGGCGCTGTGAGTTTTGGCTGCTGGACTGGGGTTCTGGGGGTGAGCCTGCTTGGTGGGGCAGAGGCCCGGGCAGTGGACTGTCACGCTGGGTCCTGGAGGATGAACCCGAGTGTGCTGGGCAGGTGGCACTCAGGGAGCGAGCGTGCGTCGGGGTGTCCAGGACGTTCTGGATGGCAGCGGCTGGCTCTGTGCAAGGGCCAGGCAGGAAGCTGAGCAGGACCCTGTGCTGGGCGGATGAGGCCAAGCTTCTCAAGCTGTGGCTTCTCCTTAGGACATGCTGCTCAGAACTGGGGCACAGGCCTGCGTGGTCTCAGGCCCTCCTGGCTTGGTGCTGCTGATGCACAGAGAGGTGATGCCGTCACATCTGGCCTGGAGGCTTCCCCACGGCCATGTAGAGAGGCTCCAGGAGCCCACAGGCCCCAGGCCTTCACCCCAACCAGGAGTTTTTGCATAGAGTTTTCTTTCAATTGAGTTCTTGAAAAACTTTAAGATGCTTCTTCAAACCCTCCTTAGCAAGGACTTCTATGCGGTTTGCATTTGAGAGTCTAATTCTGTTTTCTTCTGATATTCATTAAACTTCACATGCTCCTGTTAAGGTAAAAACCCCACTCTCATTCCCCTGGAGGCCTGTCACCCACTTCAGACACCTGGGCCCCTCTCTCCCGCCCAAGGAAGAGGAGTTGGGGGGGGGCCCTTGGAGACAGGAAGGCCCAAATTGCTAGTTTCCAGTAGATGAATTTGACATGTAACAAACATGACAGAGATTCTCCTGTGCTGTTAACTCTACTTCCTGCCTTTCTTTTGTCCTTAAGATTTTACTTATGAGTGCACCACGGTTTGCTCCACCCACTCGCCTTAGGGAGGTCTTTGTTAATGCAGAGTACTAGAAAATTCGGGTTTCCTATCTATAGTATCATGTCATCTGCAAATGATGACAAATTATTTCAGCATCACGCTGCATTTCAATTAAGAAAAGAAAAGAAAACCTGTAAAGGCGATGGAAAGCAGCCAGCGTGAGGGTAGACTGGGAAGCAGGGGAGTCACCTCTGTGTCTCCTCGCGGCCAGTGAGCACGGGCTGCCGTGGGCAGCTGGGCCATGTGGAGTCGAGTGTGCCAACGCCCGTGTGGGGTGCCTTTGGTCCACCTCCCCCGGTGAATCGTGAGGTGTCTACTTTAGACGATTAACATGCTAGAAAACATCAATTGTTTTTCTAGCATGTTAGTAATTCATGTGGCATAAAATTCATCCTTTCACAGTGTACAATTCTGTGGGTTTTGGTATATTCACAAGACTGTGCAACCACAGCACAGTCTAATTCTGAGCATTTTTAAGACCCTCAGAACAAACCCTGAACCCAGTAGGAATCACTCCGACTTCCTCTTCCCCAGCCCCTGGCAACTGTTGACTCCCTTTCTGCCTCTGTGGATTGGCCGTTTGTGTCTGGCTTCCCACCGAGCATGACAGTTTCGAGGTCCGTGCACACTGGCGCATGGGCCAGAGCTCCCTTCCTTTACGTGGACAAGTGGGAGTCCATTGTGTGGACAGGCCATGTTTTGTCTGTTCTTTCGTCAAGCAATGGACAGTTGACTTGTTCCCCCTTTAAAACAGTATTTATTTATTTTAAAATTTAAGTATACTTGGTATACAATGTTACCTCGGTTATATTAATTTCATGTATACAATATAATGATTCGACATTTCCGTACCTTACAATGTAATCAGCCCATTCATTCTAGTAATCATCTGTCACCAAACAAACTTATCCCAATATTATTGACTGTATTTCCCTCCACTTTTTTCACTCATTCCCCACCCCACACCTCCCTTTGGTCTCTGTTTCTATGAGTCTCTTTCTGTTTGGTTTTGCTTGTTTGTTTTGCTTGTTTGTTTTATTTATTTTTTAGGTTCCACACACAAGACTTGTGTCACTTGGCATAATATCCTCTAAGTCCATCCATGTTGTTGCAAACGGTAACATTTTTATTTTTTATCGCTGTGTAGTATTCCGTTATGTATGTGCACTGTGTCTGCTTTACCCCTTTGTAAATCGAGGGACCCCTAGGATGCTTTCATATCTTGATGACTGTGAATAATGCTGCAACGTACATGACTGTGTGTGTGTCTTCTCATGTTAGTGTTTTTGTTTTCTTCAGATAAATTACCCAGGACTGGAATTGTTGGGCTGTATGGTATATCTATTTTTAGTTTTTTGCGGAATCCCCACACTATTTTCTGTAGTGGCTGCACCATCTGCGTTCCCGTGAGGAATGCACAAGGGTTCCCTTTTCTCCACATCCTCGCCAACACATATTTGCTGGCTTTTTGATGATGGCCCTTCTGACAGGTGTGAGGTGCTATGTCACTGTGGTTTTGATTTGCATCTCTCTGATGTCCAGTGACACTGAGCATCTTTTCATGTGTCTGTTGGTCATCTGTATATCCTCTTTGGAGAAGCATCTTTTCATATCCTCTGCCAATTTTTCAATTGGATTGTTTATTTTTTTGTTATGAGTTGTATGAATTTCTTATATATTTTGGATATCAATCCCTTATCGGATGTATCATTTGTGAATATATTCTCCTATTCAGTAGGTTCCCTTTTCATTTTGTTGATGGTTTTCTTTGCTGTGCAGCTTTTTAGCTTAAGGAAATTCTATTTGTATTTTTGTTTGTTCCCTATGTATCCAAAAAGATATTACTCACGCTGATGTCAAATAGTTTACTATGTTTTTTCCTAGGATTTAAAAAAAAGATTTTATTTATTTATTTTT